TGTTTATATTTAATTTAATTTAACATGTGCAGGTAATAGTTAAAAGTATAAGAATATTTTTTTATATTAATTAATATTAAAAAAATGAAATTAATAATAATTTTTATATTTTTAAATATTAATTTATATAAAAAAATATTATAATAATTATACTTTTAATTTGTATTTTAAAGATATAAGTTAAAAAACCTAAATTGAATTGATAATTAGTTTCATCTCATGAGATTTTGTAATACAACACGTTACTTTAGACTTTCATATCTTATAAAAAAAGTGTGGACTTTGATATCATACAGAAATTAGATATATGAACGCTCTGATATTATATAAAAAATTAAATATATGAGTTTTAATATAAGATTTATATTTAATTTAAAATTAATTAACAATAAATAAAATAATTTTTCTCATTTTAAGTCACATATTTCTTTATTATATTATTAATGTAAAATTTCTCTGCTCAACAAATTTCGAAGTTTAAAGTTGAAGTTGTAGAAGGATCTAAGAGAATGGTAGAAGATTATCATTTTTTGTATAATTTATCATAAGATATACTAAAAAAACTAAATATAAATAAGATGATGTAGAAAATCAAAGTATCTTGGTATTAAAAATATTTATCAAGACATCCAATCAGAATCTATATAATGAGTAAGATATAATGTAAACCTTAAGTTATAGTTCAAATTAAACATTTGAACATATTTAATGCAAATTCATCTTGATTTTCACCTTTCTATATGAATAAAATCAAAACAAAAACACTAGGAACAACGTCATACTAAATGAAGGTTTTAATAGTTTATCGCACTACATGGTTAACAATGGAATTAATATATGGTTTACAGTGGAATTAATTGTACCCTTCTGTTACAATTACATAAGTAAAAAGTGAGGCAAGTTCAACAACGGATGTAAAACAGAAACTACAGGGAAAACAATGGATTTTAGACTCAACATGAGGGAAGATGTACATTCCTGAAAATTAATTTGATCAATTCTCTTCATGGGATTGGATAGATGACCACTTTTCCAGTAGCTCTCTGAGTCTGCAGATAGGAAAGTGCTTCCACAGTTTGAGAAAATGGAAATGGGCCTTTTGGATCCAACACTGGCTTTACCTCTCCACTTTCCAAGTGAGGAATCAGTTTCTCCAGAATGGATCCATTTGAAGTGACTGAGAATGGGATAGCTGGTGGGGTTGGTGTGCCTATTATTGTCAAAACTCTCCCTTCTTCTTTCACTGCCTTCAATGCTCTATCACTTTCTCCTTTTTTCTCAAAAGAAAAAAAAAAAAAAAAAAAAAAAAAAAAAAAGGAAGCTGTATTAGCCCTCCATCATTAACCACAAAAATAGGGTTAAGAAGATTATTACAAATTTCTATTGATTTTATTCAACCAGTGGCAATAACTGTTTTTTTTTTTCTTTTTAAGCTTCACGCCTAGTTTTTGGGAAATTTTCTAAGAATTAAAAAAGAATGGTTTTAGAATCTTACTGACAGTATCATATGCTACATCAAATTTCTCAGGCAGGTCTTCATAGTTCTCTTTGGTATAATCTATAACTAAATCAGCACCCAATTTCTTGAGTAAGTCCAGTTTTCCTGTGCTTGAAGTAGCTGCTACTTTAGATGCCCCAAAAGCATTCTTGGCCAACTGAACATTGTCCAGGTCCAGAACAAGGTAAAATAAATTAACATCTAATAAAAGGTTGGCACTTAAAAAGGAAGCACAGGATCAGTCTATACCTGAATTACCAAGCTGCCAACCCCACCAGCACCTCCTAAAACAAGAATAGATTCTCCGGTAGATAATCCAATCCTTTCGAGGCCTTCATAGGCAGTCTCAATGGCTAAAGGTAGCCCTGCAGCTTCAGCAAAACTCAGGTCTTTCGGCTTTGGAGCCAACAGCTTCTCTTCTATGGCAGTGTACTCTGCTAAAGTGCCAGATACTTTTGGGTCTTGCAAGGATTTCTGAATATCAATGAACCCAAATACTTCATCTCCTTCCTTAAAATTCTCCACTTTGCTTCCCAATTTCACCACCACACCAGCAACATCAAATCCTGGAACGGTCTTATAAAAAGAACCAGAAACAAGAAGCATACTAAAATAACAGATGATTTCCTTATACATGTTATACTTGCACAAATCTGTGTTTGATTTGATAGTTGAAATCATAGAAATTTTACAAACGATGAGAGAAGAAAAGAGACTTACGGGTACAGTAGTTTTTAACCCAAGCATCTTCTTGAAATCGATTGGGTTTAGTGCTGCAGCAACCACCTTGACTAGAACCTGATCTTCCTCCAATTCTGGTACAGCAATATCTGTTTTTAGCTTCAGTACATCAGCAGGATTTCCGTTTTCAGAGTAGACAAAAGCCTTCATTTTAGATGGGATGAATGCAGTCGCCATGAGGACAAATCTTAAACTTTCTTTGGTCCTAGGATTCTCAGTTCAAACAGAAAAAGGTAACTGTTTTTGGTGTTAGGCAAGGAAGGGGGTAGGTGGGTGTTAAGCAAGGAAGAGGGTATGTGGTTGTCAGGTATGGAAGGAAGCTTAGGAAGAGTAGGTTCAGAAGATGGACTCTCAGATTTTCAATATTTCCCTCGGTTATCCCCTAAATGTTTATAGGTTTCGTACTACAATAAAGAGACCAGATTGACTCACATAAATATTGATATACAAGGTTTCTAGAATATAATTAAATATTTTATAATTATTTCGTGATCATAGGTAAAGATTTAAAATTTTTATTTAATATCGTATTATATTTTGAGTTCTATAATGAGTAAAATTATGATGATAACCTAACACGATATTAGTACGGTCGTTGCACACAATATCTAAGAGAGCTTAAAGTGAAATATAAAAATTTATTAGGTAAAATACCTAAATTTACTTTCAAAATATAGTAATAGGGATAGATTCATTTTCGAACAAAAAATAAGGACAAATTCACTCACAAAATTTTCAATTTAAACAATTCATATTAAATTTAATATGTGATATCATCTGACGTCAGTAATTCGTTAATTTGACATTATTTGACGTCAGTAATATGTTATTAGTGATATAATAAATTAATGAATTACTGACATCATATGACGTATGTTAAATTTAAGATAATTTATTTAAATTGAAAATTTTATAGGTAAATTTATCCCTATTTTCCTTTAGGGATGGATCTATTCCTTTAGGGATAGATCTATTCCTACCACTGTACTTTGGGATGGATTTGAGAATTTTGCCAATTTATTAAACATGGTCTGGTTGCATTGCATTCCACCTCGTTATTACAAAAGCATAAAGTACAGTAAAAGAGTGGATGCCCAACAGAAAAAACAGAGGACTTATAGGGGCATGCATGATATTGCTGTTACTTTGATCAATTTCCTCGTGGGATTGGATATATAACCACTTTTCCAATGAGTCTGCCAGTCTCAACATAGGAAAGGGCTTCCACAGTTTGAGAAAAGTGGAATGTCCCCTTTGGATCCACACTTTTGATCAATTTCTCTTCATCTCTTGAGCCATACCAGCTTCCTGGTACTCTAAATTGAGTGCCGTTTTTAGCCATTGCACCTGATGATGATAAACATCTAAAATGATGACCTGGAAATGCCATTGTTGTCTAGAATAAGGAAATCACTTATTGCCATAATACATTTTCCCTGAATTCCCTGAGAACAAGCCATGTTCA